TAGCAGGATGTTTTTTGTCACATTTAGGGCGTTCAAACGCGTTAAATTATAACGCGCTCTAACGCGTTGATTATCGACCCTGTGAAACGCGTTGATCAGTAACGCGTTTGAACGTCCGGAATGTGACCAAAAACATCCTGGTAAACGCGTTAGTTTGTATGAAAATTTAAACGAACTCTCACGCGTTTTTTTCGCAGAAAAAGTTTGCCTGGGTGAGGTCCAATTTTAATGCACAATTCAACAACTCCTAATACATGAAATGGAACTAGTCCATCAGCAAGAACGAATGTTTTTTGTTGTTTATTTATATATTTTGGGTGTTTTGTTTTACGTAGTGATTTTTCGCTGATAAAGGTTGTAGTTGCTCCAGTATCTATGAGTACGCGCATTTTACAATGATTGACGAGTGGGCTGATGAAGATTAAAGATGATTTTGATGGGTTTTGTTGGTTATGAGCGGAGGCAACACCATCACTTGTTGGCTCCGTAACTAGAAACGGGGACAGGCAGAAGCCAAATGTCCCGTTTTTCCACAATGAGTACACGTAATTGTTGGCAGGGATTCATGATTATTTACAGCAGCAACTGTGTTTCTTTGTTGATTACTGCGTTGCTGAGTATTAATCGAATACTGTTCTCGTTGTGGAGTATTATTTTTTTGATCATTTCGTGACTGGTTACTAGAATTATGATAATATGAAGATGGTGGTTGAGATTGTTGATTGAAATGTAAATTTGGATGTGAAAATCTTGGAGTCTGTTGTGTTTGTGACATTGAAGACCAAGTCATGGACGGTCTTTGAGAAAAACGAGAATTATAATCATTGTTATTAAAGAAACGTCTTGAATTTGGATGTGAACGAAATGTATGTGATAATGTTGGATGAGAATCATTGTAGGGTCGAGTTGGTATTGTTATTGTTGAAGATTCAGTAGAAGTAGGTTGAGTGTAATTGGTATTATTTGATAATTCAATAAGTGCTTCTACTTCTCGAGCATATTCAAGAAACTGTGTTACTGAGAGTGGTTTTTTCTTTCGTACTTCAAATTGTAAACTGGCTTTCATTTTTGCCATTAAATATTTCAATTTGGAAGCTTCACTCATTGTTGAATCAGCTTCTTTAAATATTTTATTCATTTCTGTATAATAATTTCTGATTGATTGATTTTGACCTTGATAATATGATTCTAATTTTTTAAATGATAACTCAGCTTCAAATGAAGAGGTGAAAGCATTTTTTATTTCGTCAACAAAATTTTTCCATGTTAATATGTTCTGCTTATTATCTTTAAACCATGATAAGGCTTCACCCTTTAATTGATAGGATATAATACTGAATTTATTATTATCTGGTATATCAGCCGTATCAAACTGTGTTTCTAAATCTTCTAGCCATTTATGTACATCCTCTTTTCCCCCTGAAAACATTTCTGGATTTTTTATCATGTTCTCCATAATAGCTTTGCGTAAATCAATTGATGTTTGATTTAATGAATAAATAGTTTCATTTAGAGGCGATGATAAGGATAATAGAGGTGGCATATTTATAGATGTTGTATTTGTTCCAAAGGTCAGCTTTGATATGGGATTTAGATAATCTATCATAGCGAATCAATTAAAAATAGTTCCAGTCTCCTTTGGATCCGTATAGTGGGTCCAGGAAACCTTTTAGCTTTATTTAAGGTGCCGGCAATTCAAAAGATTTTTTTTTGATTTTTTTTTGATCATTAGATCGAGCTCATCGAGTTACCTAGAAAAAACTGAAAAGTGGATTTTTGAAAGCCGTTTTTCATTTAAAAAGTTTTGATTTATTGATTTTTTAAAAATGGGCAAAATTCAGCAAAATTTTAGGGT